AGTAAGTATAGCATGTTTGCTATTTTTTAAAAATAAAACCTGTGGCTTTACAATTACTTTAATGTATAACTAAAGGCAAAACTTTTTTTTTTTTCATTTTGGACAGAGTAGAGAGGGACTAGAATGCTTGTCAATTTTTTATTGCTGTCTGTGGCCCCATTAACCACTTCAAGTTCGGACACTTTTACCCCCTTCCTGTCCAGGCCAATTTTCAGCTTTCAGCGCTATCACACTTTGAATGACAATTACGCGGTCATGCAACACTGTAACCGTATAAATGTTTTAGTATTTTTTTGAGACAGACAAAACTTTATTTTCGGTGGTATTTATTCAGCACTGGAATTTTTATTTTTTTTGCTATGTAAATGAAAAAGTCAAAAAAATTTTTGAAAAAAAGTGTTTTTTCTTATCAAATTTTGCAAATAAATAATCTTTCTTCATAAATCTTGGCCAAAATTTATTCAGTTATCTTTTTAGTAAAAAAAATAACCCAAATTTGTTTCTGACCAAAAATTATAATTTTTCTGAATTATTTGACATTTTTATTTTTTTTTTTATTATATTTATGTTTTTTTTTTTTTTTTTTTTACATACTGTCACCCTAGCAGTACAGTGTCACCAATGTGACATTGTACTACTTGTGGGGGGTGTTGAAGATTTTTTTTTTTACACTGATTGGTTTTACACCCATAAAGGCTGTAAAAGCAATAATTTCTCTTTCTCTCTGGCTGCATTCTTGCAGCCATTAACAAATACTGTGTGAGCTGTGACTGGTCACAGCTTGTCACATGGTACAATGCTGTTGTGAATAGCCTTGTACCATGTGACCTCTGTGATCATTCACAGATTTCACACATAGTAAGCAATGATGTCAGAAGTGACATCTTGCTTACTACTCTTCATGTGATCACTGATTGGCCAATCAGTGATCACATGATCGGAACCTCACACAGAGGTCCCGTACAACGATCGGTGTTCCACTGTGTCCAGAGGACACAGCGGGCACCGGATCGTGTTGCTGCGCGCTCCCGTTTATAAACCGCCACCCACCCCCTGCATTGCTCCCATCCGGCCGTTTATATACATGGGCCGGACTGGAAGTGGTTAAGGAGATTCATCCTCTCTGTTTCTCCCTGTTTACCATTATCATTGACAGAGAAAGTAAAAGAAAATTAGAATTTTTGGGTTGTCCCCAAAAAAGTAATAGAAGGGAAATCTTCTAATGGGAACACTAGTTCTGGTGACCTGGGAGTCCCCAAGGAATTCCCTTAATTTGCGGGGATTTCCTCTGTCTTCCTGTTTGGCTATGGGACAAGAATTTAAAGGAAACCTTCACAATGGGACACAGATGGTGAAAAAAAAATCTGAGAGGAGTTATAATCCTCCCTTGCTCTATCCAAAATGAAAAACAAAAAAAAAAAAAAAAACATCCAGGGTGTAGAGTCCCAAACACAGAAAAACTGTCACTACTTTGCTAAATAAAAGGCAACCTGATCTATGCCCTTTTTCCCTCTTAGATTGTAAGCTCCAAGGAGCAGGGCCCTTCTAACCCTCTTGTATTGAACTGTATTGTTGCTGTATTGTCTCCCTTCATATTGTAAAGCGCTGAGCAAACTGTTGGCGCTATATAAATCCTGTATAATAATAATAATCTATCCCAGGTGGGTCCGTGATTTTTTTGGTAAAATGCTTGATCAATCCCCATCAGCTTGCGTTCATCTATTGCAGATTACAATTTTTTTTTATTTTTTTTTTATTTTTCTTCATTAAATTTCAGTGCTTTATTTTTACCTAAAATATTTAGCATACTACCAGAAAAGCAAAAGGTTTTTTTTTTTAAATCAGATTTTATTATTGCAAACAGGTTTTTTTTTCAATTGCATTTTCAAAACTTCACAGAAAAAAAGAGAAACCATTTCACAGCAGTATATATACAGAGGTCAAACTTTGTACAATGATTCAGGATGGAATAATATGGCAATAAGCACACAGAGAACAAGCATCCCTTCGCATTGGGGGGCGGCAATATAATCTCAACCTATATTTGGCAGCAAGAAGGAGGTAGACAGCAGGTAGCATAAAGATATTTCCCACCGGTCCATCCCTCCTGGAGAGGCCAAAGTCCAAAAGGGAGAAGAAAATCAACTCACGAAGAATCACAATCTTCCATCCTGCCGGTCTCAGCATCAGACCATCCTGATCAAAACAGCCCATGTTTTTTGAGGGATTAATAAGTACATTTTCAACGAGCTTAGCTACTCAGTCTCCAATATCAGGGGATGTGGTAGAGTCAAACAACAGAAATGTGTGCTAACTAAACCCTGCTTTAAATGCATACTGTTAGACAGGTTAATTTGGTTTGTTTGCAGGCTGGCTCGCTAGTTAGAGCTGGGAATTTTTTGTTTTTGTTGTTTGACATGCATCGCTCTTCCATGTGCTCCTTGCTGTGAAGGTCAGTTATAGACTGGGACAGTGGCCATTTTTTTGTACTGTTGAATTGTTGGTCGAGGGAATACTGTAGTGCCGTGACGTGGCTCTGTAGCTTACGAATGTGTTTGCAAATGTGTGCTAACTAAACCCCTGCTTTAAATGCATACTGTTAGACAGGTTAATTCGGTTTGTTTGCAATCTGGCTAGCAAGTTAGAGCTGGGAATTTTTCTTTTTTGTTGTTTGGCATGCATCTCCCTTCCATGTGCACCATGCTGTAAAGGTCAGTTATAGACTGGGGCAGTGGCCATTTTTTTGTACTGTTGAATTGTTGGTCAAGGGGGCGCACTGGACACCTTAGCTGCCATTGTCCTACATGATATGTGCCCAGTGCACTTCTATACCTTTAAGGAGGGGTGTGCTCCCCAAGGTCCATCTGCCCTTGGTCTATCCATTAAATACATGTGCCTCTACTATGGGGGCTCTTAAAATTGGAGAGTTAGGAACTACAGAATACTGGGGTGCCGTGACGAGGCTCTGTAGCTTACGCATGTGTTTGCAAATGTGAGCTAACTAAACCCCTGTTTTTAATGCATACTGTTAGACAGGTTAATTTGGTTTGTTTACAAAGCTGGCTGCCAAGTTAGAGCTGGGAATTTTTCTTTTCTGTTGTTTGACATGTGTTGCCCTTCCATGTGCACCATGCTGTGAAGGTCAGTTATAGACTGGGGCAGTGGCCATTTTTTGAACTGATGCGGTAGAGTCCTATCGAGATTTGAGATGGTATTCACAACCCTTGTGCTATGTAGTCCCGGATGGCTCATTGCAACAATTTTATTGTACTTCCAACAGTTTTTTGCTACTTAAAACATATGCATAATGGTTAACTATTGGTGCAATATTACGTTCAATTTTCAGTTTATAAAATCTATCTCGTAAAATGTATGACTGCTCCTATTTTGCGGCAAAGTTGATGAATTGCCCCCACTGTCTGTGCCGTTGTCAGAATATGAATGAAATGGTGAACCTGCTTTATTTTTGTAGCATTTAGAAACAGTTGCATTTCTGTCGCTCTGTAACCTTTTAACCTATGTCCTAATGGCACTGGTCACTCAAGAGCAAAAGTTCAGCTCCAGGTTAAGTCTGTGTGTGTTTGCATTGAGGAGGGGCACTGTCTGTTCTTACTTCCTCTTGTTAGAGCCACACAATGCAGTTACTCTCTAAAATTCAGTGTTGACCCCTGCTGTGTAAACTCCCTCCCCTCCCAAAGCATGAAGGAGGACCTGTGCCCTTGTCTTCACTCAGCACAATCTTTTGTTGTCTTAACATCTGAATAATGTAACTAAGCCCATTTGACTACAGCTAACCCTTACTGGATAATGTAATGGGTTGTACATCAGCAACAGATTCTCTTCTTTCACAAATTATTCTTTTGTAATTTTTTTTTGTTTTTTTTTTACACTTCGCTATGATTATTAAACCCCATTCACACGGCCATGAAAAAAATGACACTTTTGGAAGCATTTTTTTCTTTTTTTTTTTTTTAAACCTCTGTGTGCAATTCTGTATTAGCCACTGTGTATGTGCACTTTGTGGTTTTTAGATTCTAATTTTAGAGCAGTGTTTATCTGCATTTAAAAATCTGCCCTAAACCTGCACTTGCATGCTGGCATAAATTATGAACATAAGCACATTAAAGCGTATAACCGCATGTAAGCCTGGGTTCACATTGATGCGGTGCAGTTTCTGTGTGAATTCCGCACCGCATCATAATCGCACCCCGTTCATACAAACCGCCGTGGGTGTGTATTTTAAAGTAATGACACCCGAAATCAGTTCGCAAAACTCGGTGCGATGTGCAGAATTGGATTGCATGGGTGTGAACACGCATGCGATCCGATTCTGATGACAAAAAAGGGTCTTGCACTCTTTTGGTGCGGATGCATTGCTATTTGAGCCATACAAAATGTATGGCTCAAATTGCACCGCACAGAAATCGCATGTGATTTGCCCAGGAATGCAGCGCAGTTCCTATGCAAATCACATGCGATGCGCCGCACCACATCAGTGTAAACCTGGGCTCATAATAACAATAATAATAAACATTCATGTGTGTAAATTCATTCTAAAGATAGAACAAATGAATGTTGTAGGATTAGTGCATACACCTCTAAGCCTGGGTTCATACTGATGCGGTACGGAATTTGCGTTTTCTTTGTGAATTCCGCACCGCATCAGAATCGCACCCAGTTCATGCGAACCGCTGCGGGTGTGTGTATGTTAAGTTAAATACAGCCCGAAATCAGTCCATAAAACCCGGTGTGATGTGCAGAATCTGATCACATAGGTGTGAATACCCATGCAATCCAATTCTAGTGCGGACCCAAAAAAGGATTCTGCACCTTTTGGGTGTGGTGCGATTTGAGCGATACAAAATGTATGGCTCTGATCGCACCGCACACAAATTGCATGTGATTTGCACAAGAATGCGGTGCGGTTCCTGTGCGAATCACATGCGATGTACTGCACTGCATTAGTGTGAACCTAACCTAAATGTCATTCATGTGTAAACAGGGGCGAACTGACCATTTGGAAGCTTAGGTACTACCCGAGGGCCTAGGGTCAGTAGGGGGCCCCATGAGATGCCCCTGGTACCTTTTTCATAGGCTTTTTTGAGTTTGGGCAAGAACCCAGGGGCCCCATGATCCCCTATTACCCGGGGGCCCCATGAGTTGTCAGTCCGCCCCTGTGTGTAAACATGCATAAATGCAAGAAAATACACAACAAAATGAGTAATTTTTTATACTGGATTTTTCTGCCAGCTACTGGCAAAAAGATCCATTTATAGATGGGATTATTTTAATTTTCCCATGTACTTACCTACCAAAAGCGGAAGAAAAATGCTTGACCATTAAATCCTATGGAGCTCTTCACACCAGTCAGTTGCATTTTTAAAAGGTCTACATGCTGCATTTTTGGTGCTTGTTTGGTGTGGCAAAAAAACCACACTGAAAACGCACATCCACATTGAATGGAAATGTGGTTGTATTTTTGGTGTGTTTTTGGAGTCACGTCCTTTTTTTACAGGTGTATAATGCACATGAAATGTGGCATAAACACATGTGTTTTTACTGCGGTTTTGCAACAGAGCAGTGTGAAAGCAGCCAAACCGTATGATATGATGGCTGCTCACATCCTATCTATTTTTGTTGGCCATAAAATATGTGCATCACTAGTGATATTCGCAAAGATGGTGTAATGCAGGGCTTTTTTTCAGGGGGAACGCAGTTCCGGCACCTCCAGCCCTGAATGTATGTAATGACAAGGGGTGCCGGGGTGTACTGAAGGGTCCATTAATGCTGGCTGCTGGAGGATCTATTGTCACTGGAGGGGGATCTATATTTGTGGGGGGGGTCTATTGATGCTGGGGAAGGTCTGTTAGTTGTTGCTGGTGGGGGATCTATTGTTGCAGGGGATGGGTCTTATGTTGGTGCTGGGGTCAATTGTTGCTGGGATGGAACTTCTGTTGAGGGAGGGGTCTATTGTTGCTGGGGGGGTTCCATTGTTACTGGCTGCAGGGAATGTATTTGCTGCTTTTCTTGTTATTAATAAATTCCATACAAATTTGATATGTGGTTCTGTATTCTCTAAAGGGGTGGTACTGTGAGGAAGCAAGGATCGGTGCTCAGAGTTGAGTAGTTGGTGGAGAGAAGCAGTCCTGGTGTAAAGTAAAAAAAAAATACTAACGTTTATCTACACATAAACCAAATATGTTACTGCACATGTACTAGTAAAGTAAAAATGTGTCATGTTATTTTAGTTAAAGTGTTCTCAGTGATCCTTACAGCAAGGTGTATCCATAGGCACTTCCTTGCCTAGTTAGACAGAGCTAATGGTGGCCATATATGCTTCAATAAATGATCTTTTCTACAATCCAATAGGAATAATTGATCTACAGTCAACAACACAATTGATCAATATGCAACACATGGGGAAGAAGAATTCAATCAATAGCTGGAATATACGATTCTAAGTTATTGATCGTATCTCTATTTGTACCCAGCAAACTCATAATCTGATCAATAAAAATATGATAAAATTTATGACCAAACCAGCTCAGCGCTGCCAACTGATGCAAAACAATTGATCATTTTCCAAACTGGTTGATCGATCCAAGTCCAAATCAATTGGAAATGAAGTTATGGTTATTCAATTGGTTTCTGATACAATCATTTTGATTGAATCGCACATCATTCAGATAACAAAATTAAAGCTTGTATGGCAACCATTAGGCTGATGCCAGACAGGCAATTCTGCCACTAGAGGAAAAGTTTAAGCATTAAGATCACTAAAGATCAACTAAAGGTTGCCTGTCTATCACTATAGATTCATATCCTCTGTAGCCAGAGGCAGTGAGATGTCTCTGCTGCAGGCCCAAATGCTGCTGAATCTCAAACACTAGCGATGAGACTAACATCACCTCTTAGCGTTCCTGTTGCTGGCAATTTTGACAAATTGTCAGCAGCAGGATCCCTAGCGGCAGAGTCGTCCACCTGACATGAGTCTCATTCAATTCAGCTGTCATCCTTTTTTGTGTTCTCCCAAGGCCCGGTTTAGATTGCAAGTAGCTGTACCAATTTACAGTGCACATGCATCTTCTGCCGTAGTCTACTCGGTAAGGCCATGGCCATAAAAAAATGCATTTCAAATAATTTTTGTTTATGGATCTGAACATGCACTGCATTCAGATTTGTAACCAGAAAAAGAAAAAATTTGCATCTGATGACATGTATTTTACACTCTTATGCGTGTAAACTCACATATACACATATTCATTGATGGAAAAAGTGCATTCTGGTATTGGAAAAAAAGCAAGAGGATATAGAATTACAATTTTACTCATTAAAAAATGTGTCTAAAGGCAAGCATTTTACTGATCATTTACATGTGAACTTTTATTCCAGAAACCTACTTTAACCGCTTTCCCGTCCGCCCTGTAGTAGATATATTGCTACAGGGTGGCATGGGTGCGCAAAATCACATATATTATTATTATACAGGATTTATATAGTGCCAACAGTTTGCTCAGCGCTTTACAATATAACGGGAGACAATACAGTAACAATACAGTTCAATACAAGAGGAATAGGAGGGCCCTGCTCCTTGAAGCTTACAATCTATATATATATATATATATATATATATATATATATATGTGATTTTGCATCTCTGGGTAGTGGGAACGCTGTCAATCACCGGGGCCCGGCTGGTGATTACTCACGTGCCCGGTGATTGCCAAGAATCTCCAAGGGAGGGAAGGGGGTGGGTTTGTGGAAGAACTGTTTGTAAACAAAACAGGTCTCCTCCCTGTCAGCTACACCACACTGCACAGCACAGCCATGCAAAGCAGTGTGCTTATAGTGAAGCACACAGACACAGCCCCATAGTAAAACACTCCCTGCACACAGTTAACCCTTTTATCGCCCCTCATGTTAACCCCTTCCTGCCCTGTGCCATTAGTACTTTTTATTAGCACTGATCACTGTATTGGTGTCACTGGGGATGTCAATGACACCAAGTCTGTTCCCCCCCAGTGTCAGAATGCCCACCGTAGTCCCGCAGTCCCACTATAAGTCGCTGATTGCCACCATTACTAGTGAAAATTAAATAACAAAAAAAAATCCCACTATCTATACCGCCATTTGTAAATGCTATAACTTTCACGTAAACCAATTAATTTACACATATTGGGATTTTTTTTTTTTAGCAAAGACATGTAGCAGAATACTTTTTGGCATACATTTATGACAAAATTTGATTTTTAAAATTTTTTTACTGGACATGTTTAATAGCAAAAAGTCAAAATTATTGTTTTTTTTTTCTCAGAAACAATTGATTACTGATGTGACTCAATTGTTTCTGTTGCAAGTGCACTAATACGGCTACAATCACCTCAAGCAAAATGTTTTTTCCTCAAAATTGTCAAACTTTTTTTTTTATAGCGCAAAAAATAAAAACCGCACAGACGATCAAATACCACCAAAAGAAAGCTCATTTCGTGGGGAAATTTCATTTGGGTGCAGTTTTCCATGACTGCGCAGTTGTCAGTTAAAGTAACGCAGCGCCGTACTGCAAAAGATGGCCTGGTCAGGAAGGGGGGTAAATTCTCTGGAGGGCAAGTGGTTAAATTATATGTCATTATATGTTATAAGCCAAAATATTTTTCTTCTACTTTTGCAAAGAGTGGGGAAAGACTACTTCTATTTTTTTTTTTTTTTATTACAGCCATCCGGTTCCCCATTAAAGGGTTTTATTATCACTTCCTGTCCTGATGACAATGATTTAACCAGACAGGAAGTGAGGGAAAGCCTGCAGTAGGGACACAGGCAGAATTACAAATCTGACAAAGGTTCTGGCCTTCACCTACACTGCTAAAGAAAATCCTTTTTATTTTTGTCCGTGTTGCAGTTGGAGAGTTCCCCTTGCTATCAGTCTGGTAGCACAATGTCAGCAGGACAGGAATTGAGGGCAAATGTGTCTAATGGCCCTGAATAACAGTATAAACCTGACAGGGGTTCTAACCATTCTTTAGGCCCCACACTGGGCTCTTCTCAATGCATTTCTCCTGACAGCAGAAAAGCAGCATTAAAAATGCACCTAAAGCCGCTTTTTAAAATCTCGTTTAGACATGTAGACATGTGTTCAACATTAGGATTAGAAAAGGCATACTTGGCTCTAATGCTAACTTCAAGCTTTTGGGAATTTATTCATTTAATTGGTCAGAATATTAATCTATTTTGCCCATTTGAGTAAATAAAAAGCTCAAGCTCTACACATGCCTAGTGTTTAGGCCCGTTCAGTGTTTACATGCTTTTTCTATCCTCATTGGATAGAAAAGGCAACAGTGGGAGCCATTGGCTCCTACTGCTATCAATCGCAGCCAGTAAGGTGTCAGTGGGCGCAGGGCCAAGTAGCGATCTATGCGTCAATGGACACACAGATCCATCTCAGGAGCAAGCATGCATGAGTGCCTCCATAGAAAATGGCTTGCTATAGGGGAACTTGGCAGGGGGAGGAGTATGACAGCGCCAGTGGGGGACCTGAGAAGAGGAGGATCAGGGCTGCTCTGTGCAAATATATTGAATATGGCCAAAATTGTAGCATTTCAAATATATGTCGATATATTTGGGAAGAATATTTTTTAAATATATTTCAAATATATTTTTCTTTCATGTGGGATTGCACAGAGCAGGTAAGTATGATGTTTTTTTTTTATTTAAAAAAAAAAAGATAAATGCGAAGGTTTAAAATCACTTTAAGCAAACACATGCCTTTTAAAGTGTTACTAACCCCAGGACCCTGCATTCAATATATCTGATCTACCACAGTACACAGAACATGGAAATGCAATTATTTTAGTAAATATAAACTGCTAAATACCTTTTCTCATCAGCAGTTACAGCAGTCTTGTGACTTCTATCAGTGTCCAGCTGAGCACTGGGTAAAGTTTGTAGGAGGAGTTTTCATTCTCCTGTCACTTTCCTATGATACTGCGTAACACCTGACCCTCTGTGCTGATTGGCCCTGTGCTGATCACATGCACCCTCCCAAGAAAAGGAAAAGTCTCTAGCAATACACACCAAACTGAGCATGTGCAGAGTGTCCCTGTGGCTGTGTTTTATCAGGAGATAAAATGGGAAATGTGGAAGCAGGTCTATAGACCGGTTCCACAGTGAGTATAACAAGCAAGCTTTACTACAGACTGATTTTACTGTTGTGGGTTTAGTAACACTTTAAGTAAGCATCTTTTTCTTCTTTA